CATTTTATATATTTGCCGCGCTTGGGTTTTCATGTTAACAGAACGTTGGAAATGGCCCAAACCCTTGAGAAGAGCTGCCCACTGTGACATGTTTTACAGATTACGCTGGCTGCGGATACATTTCCAGCTCGACACTTAGGCATAAACCGCCACTGACTGGTCTGAATATTATCATGTGATCTCCTGAGATTCAAACTGTGATACTTTTATTCTCAAATGCCTTTGCTTACTTTCAAAATTCTCATGTTTTTTTTTTTTTATGTTTTTTTTGCAGCCAGGTGCTAACATGCTACCCAGCGTCACTGCGTGACCTTGGAGCTCAAACAGAAGTCCAGATAAGGATGTGGCCGCTTGAATACCCCTGTGTGTTTCCCATAGTTCAGTTCCCAGACAGAAAAACCTCTGAGTCAATGCCTGAGAATGCAGTGCGGGCAATGAAAACTACTGCAGCCTGCACAAACCCTCTTTGTGACGATACATGCAGATAATAACAGAAACAGCCTGAATCGTTCTCGCTGGTTTACAGAGATACGGCACATACTTTTAAAGGAACGTACTGGGTTAAATACAAGATGTGACAAGTTGTCAGTAACCACAGAAAACCATTTCAACTACTCCCTCAGTTTCAAAAACAAACCATCATGTTTACATTAATTCACTTACAATGGAAGTCAGAAATGTGCTGATAGCATTTTTGTTTAAACACTAAAGATATAACATTTTATAAGCAAGTAGCAGTGCTTCGCCTTCAGAGAATATAGTTCCCAGTATTTATACGGTTAAAATATGTCTGTGTCTCATGTGACTTTGTTTTTTGTACACTCTGTGACTATACAAATCACAACATGTAAATAGAAAAATGTTTGCGTTATTTTGTCACTTATTTGGATTAGTATGCTAGCTGCAACCATTTACATCCAGTCTTTGTGCTAAGCTAGGCTAGCGGTGGGTGCGTCAAACAGACTTATAGCACGCACGGAAATGAAAAAGGTATGTATGGACTTATCTAACTCTGGGGGATACGGTGAATAGGCTAAAGTCCCAAAAAGTCGGAGTGTTCCTTTAAAGCTCCTGTAGGTAACTTTTGAAAACATGTATTTGCTAAAACTGTCATTATGTCCTGACAGTAGAATATGAGACAGATAATCTGTGTAAAAATCAAGCTCCTCTGGCTCCTCCAAGTGGTCCTATTGCCATTTGCAAGAAATACACGCTCCCGGTCAGAAACAACCAATCAGAGCCAGGAGGACTGTCTTAGCACTGTCAATCACGCTCGTGTACGTGCTGATCACACCCCTCTCTTGCACAGCGCGAGCGCCGGAGCGCGTTCAAACTCAAGATTGCCGGCGAGCTGCAGCTGTGCTTATGACGGAGAAACAACCTAAACTGCCAATTCTCGAGTGACACCTGCTCATAAAAAAAAGAGGTAAAAGGAAAAAGACCGATGAGGATAAACAAGCGAAAAAGAAAGAATTACACAGAGCCCATTGACTCGGTGTCAAAACTCTAGCCGCATAACATGTAGATAAAATGTCATGCGCTCTGCTAAGCAACAATTGAAACCTGCTAATTCACTGGCTTGTCATGTTGCTGAAATAATGTACTAGCACACCTTATCTAGCATTATACTGTATATCGCTAGAATAATTACTTACATACTGTAACGTTAGTTACCGTTATATTAACGTTATCTTACTAGCTATTTATTACTTATAGAAAGAGTGCAACGTTATAAAGTTACATGTAGGCTATTGGAAAATACATAATGATTTGAGGACCAAGTTTGTAGTCAAAGTATGGGCAGGCCATAGTCAATGTAAAGCATATTATTGACGTTTAGTCCCTATTAGTGAATGTGCCATATAACTTTTTATCTGCCGTCGTCGGTGGCCCTGTTTACTAGCCTGCACGTTCACGACGGGCTCCGCTGTGGAGGACAAACTGTGGAGGGAGGGCTGTAGCGCAGCAGAGAGCAAGGGGGTGGGACCTGTAAGTTGTGCTTGTTCAGATTTTCAGGCTAAGTCAACGTTTTCTCAAAACTCCCTACTGCAGCTTTAAGTAGCCAGTGTGAAACACTAGCATGTTGCTATGCTAACAATGCAACTCACTACTGTCTGATATGATTAGCTTGTAGTAAACCCAGAAATATTAATTTAACGGATAGTTTTTAGTTTTCAAATTTTCAAATTTCTGTCATTTATTCACATTGAATGTCAATTATCTCACAATTTCTCGCAATTGCGAGTTTATATCTCACAATTCTGACTTTATAGCATGCAATTACGACTTTATATCACGCAATTCTGACTTTATGTCCCGCAAAGTCGAGAAAAGAGTTGTGAGATGTAAACTCGCAATTATGAGAAAAAAGTCGATAAAAAGTCGCAATTACCTTTTTTTTCTTTCTTTTTTTTCTGTGGCGGAAACAAGCTTCCACATCATACAGGTCATACATGACAAAATAGTCATGTTTGGGTGAACTGTCCCTTTAAGATCAAAGTAAACAGATCGGATGGCTTGTGAGCTTGTGAGTTTGTGAGCCAAGTGTTTTGGACATAAGTGTAATAGGCCTACTATGTTTTTGGACACGTTACACGTAGGCTACCGTGGTAAAAAAAAAAAAAAAATCCTCAACAGTGGGCTACTAAAAGATTAATTTAGGAACCATAATTGCTTGTTTACGTGTGCTTATATCCCTGAATATAAGATGCAGCCATTACTGTTACATATTTATTCCACGTCTGCATTATGTAGTTGACATAAAGCTTATGCGGAAGGTAGGCTATTATACAAACATATTTGGCATGCCATATTTTTTCATTTTGTCGGCATGCACCTCAGGCTAAAATTCAGAATAAGTGTAAACAGGGCTGTGCGGAGACCGTACAAATGTCAACAAAAGGACGCGCACACGACACGGGGACCTTCTCAAATAATGAGCTCTCTGCTCGCACGCCTGTATGCTAATTCCGCACAACCTTTAAACCCGAACGGCCGTGTATTTTTGCGCATTTGAGTCTGCTTTTAGATTATTGCCTTTCAAACGCGGGCCTCTGAGAGCAAAGCTCAAACTTTGACACCGTGTCGAGACTAATGAACTGTGTGCGTACAACAACGGGTGTCTGTCAAATCAACATCCAACTCAACTGTTTGATCCGATTTGTCTGAACAGAGTACATCACCGTCTAATGATTGTATTTCGTTTATTTGCTGCTTCTATGCCAGAATTTTTTTTTTTTTTTTTTTTTTTTTTTTTTTAAGCACTATGAAAGCTTATGTGGCTTTTCATATGTTTTTCATCTCTTTCTATCTCTGTTTTGCCTTTCAATGCATTTTTTGTCCCTCTCTCACAAAACAGACAACAAGTCCTCACCACCCCCAGAGAACGCAGGGCATGATGCTCCCGGTGAAGAGGAGTCTCTTTGTTGCAGTCTCAAAGATAGCAACGGCTCTCTCTCCCTCCTCGAGACTGCTATCATATTATTGCACCGGCCCCTTGAGCGTCACCCCACAGACCCCCACGCATTTTTTGTGGATATTTATAAAGGTTTTTGTAGCTTTCTGGAACTTCAAACTCTAAGCTGAAGGCTGTTTCTATGTAGTTCTTTTCTTCTTGGTGGGTTTTCAACCAAATAGCCTACTTTTTTCCTACTGTTTTATGAATACTGTGAACTACTAGTGATGTTTGATTCTTGAAAGAATCGTTATAGGTAACCGGTTGAGCTGGTTCACTGAATCAACCTCAATCAAATTTTAGGGTGTGTTGTGTTTAAAATCGCCCCCTATACACTCATTCACTATTCCCTACTTTTGTCCACTAAAATAGTTAACTTGAGGGAGTGAAAGCAAAACGAGTGAGTGAATTCGGACACTGAGTGCTGTCTATAGGGGGGTCAGTATTGACCAGCTCCTGTGTTAGCCACTGTCAGGATGGCATAACAGGAGTCTTTTTTGTGAGATGCGATTTTTTGTGAGATCGCGTTCCTTTGTCGCCCTTCGTTTGAAATCGCAGGGGCCCCCAAATGCCAGGGGCCCCGAGAATCATCACCACCTTTCTCCCCTCTAGCGATGGCCCTGTCCAGAATTACTGAATACTACCCGGAAAGCTTCTGACCACTTTACAGAACCACACTGACTTGGTGGAGAAAGATAAAATGTATAATGCTTTAAGCTGCTTCACCTTTTCTGATTATTTGGAAGAAAACATGCCAAACTACCATTTTTATTAAAGGTTTCAGGCACTATTTTAAAAGTTTTAAATCCTTTTAATTTGCTACAGTGTACCATGACATTTTGACTGTATGCTCAACAAAATAAATAAATGAATTTAAATTTCGAAATTGAAAACATGTTCATCATTCAACAGGTAAGTCTTTGTTAATTACATTTTTATGTACTTTTAAATAAATACAAAAATAGTCATTAATTATGCATTATTATTATGTTATGTTAGAAATTAATCGAATATTTGGTTACAGTTTATTTTAAGGTGTCATTGTTACAATGTAATTATACATTTAAGTACTGAATAAAATTAATTAACAACATGTACTTATATAGGTAAAAAAAAAATGTAGGCCTACTTATAGGGTTAGGGAATGATTAGGATTTGGTTGAGGGTTAGTTGCATGTAATTATGCATAATTTACTGTTATTACTCTGGTAAGTACATGTAACATATCATGTAACAAGGACACTAAAATAAAGTTATACCGGATATTTTTAGTCTGTTCTTGGGAGTATAAGTAGCCCATGTAAGAAAGAGATGGAAAGCTCGATGCAGGGTAGGCTATAGAATGAATATAATCCGCATCATCACTCAAAAAAATAAATAAAAAATTGATCAGGCAAACTCTAGACGCCAGGGGAAAAGTGATTTTCCTTGAGGGGCCATGGTGACAGATGGCGAACCACCACAGGATTCCAGTCTCCGCCCAGTCGTCTCATATTCTTCGCCCCTTTCTGTGACATCACCGGCGCTCCGGCCCCGCCCAGATGCGATGCGAGACGCTTTTGCCCAAGAACCACAAAGGAGCACAAAGTGACCAACTCAACACTATAACTGCGCGCTGCTTTGGATAAACATAACTGGAATGCAGAGGTGAGTTTATGGCATTTGTGCGCTTTTGTGCTGTTAATCCTTCTGACTGCTTCTGAAATGATTCGGATTATGTTTCCAAAACCTCCGAAATGTTTGTGTCAGCGCTCAGTGTTAAGTAGAACATGCGTTTCTTGTAACATTTCAGCTGCTTTTACAAGCCTGAAGTTACAATGATGCACACATATCAGGTGTATTCAAATTTCAAATGGATAAACTTAAATGGGGTATATTAATAAGACAACACGGAGTCTACATTAGCCTACATATAAAAAGGTTTTTATAACTAAAAATGATGGATATATTATTTGAATTAACTAATTTGCTTGTGTGTGTATACTTCATTTGGGCATATTTAAGCTACTTGTACTAAGTAGTAGGCTATTAAAAAGCTTAAACTGTCTTATAATTGATATTCCCAGAATTCCCTTTGTTAACCATCAATTATTGTTGTAATGTAGCCCTTCATTGAGATATAGCCCATGCCTGCCAGTAAAATGTCTTTATTTTGTGAATAACTATAGTGATTTCTTGAAATTTTGTGAAATGGCCAAACCGATTTAAAACCAGTTTAAATACACCAGTTTATTCCAAAATACTAAAGTAACTCCAGTTTCTAAAAAATAATGAATACGATATGAATTTGGTAACCGTGTCTAATTTTAAGTACTAAACTACTGAAACAATGGTTACAACAGTTTCACTAGGAACGACTTGTTCTTGTTTGACAGTTGGTTATTTGTTACCGTGGTTATCAGTGTTTGATAGTCACGACCACCCCGGTGGTCATTTCTAATGGTGAGGAGGACATCCTATACATCCCTCCCCTCCCTCTCCGCTCCCATTCCCAGCCGTCGATCCCCTCTCTCCTCTTCCTCCCTCCCCTTCCCACATTCCTTTCAGACTTTGAATGGAACAGGATTGACCTGTGGCATAACTCAGCCTCGTTTTCCTACAAGACCTCAGCTTCCCCCTGTTATATTAACAATTTATTGTCAAGTTAGGTGGTGTATTAAATATTCATGTATCGCAGAACAAATGGCTGCTACTTTAGATGCGTGTGTGTGTGTGTGTGTGTGTCTGTTTGTGTATTTTGAATAACAAAGTTATATTCGAATTAATGTTTTGTTTAATTTTAGAATATAACAGTAACTTTTTTTAAACAGTAACAGTAACCATGTTTGTTGAGTCAATATATAAGAGCTTTGCCTACAAGGAATGTTCCAGATTATATACAAGTTAAATGCGTCGTCAATAACCGCAGAAAAATTTGTCTTATTTGATTAGGATTTATAATTCGGATTGTATAAACAAACAAAAGATGATTTTACAGTAATACACTTACAACAGAGCTACAGCTTGGCTTCAATATGACAAGTAAAGTCATGAGTTTTAAACCATTAAATGTGTTAACGTAAAACTAATGTAATTAACATAACTAACTAACCTTCTATGTTCTAAAGTATGGGTCTAGAAAAGATCGATTTAAGGAACTTGTCAGCACAAACAACAGATTTTGTACTACGAGTTTTATTTCTGCGTTTGAATGTCAGCAATGGCTTGCGTCAGAGATCATCAGTGTAAGTGCGTTATTGTAACGTATATTAAATGTATTTGTTTTTTACAATCTGATTAGCAATTATTTACTCATTTAGTTTACCAGGGATTTAAAAAACTATGTATTTTAGTTGGTGGATTGACTGAAACACTATTCGACTAATCATTCTTAAAGGGATAGTTCACCCAAAAATGAAAATCTGTCATTATTTACTCACCCTCATGTTGTTCCAAACCTGTATGAGTTTCTTTCTTCTGCTGAACACAAAAGAAGATATTTTGAAGAATGTTAGTAACCAGACAGTTGACGGTAGCCATTGTCTTCCATAGTAGGAAAAAAAATGGGGCCCATCAACTGTCTAGTCACCAAAAGTAGTGCTCCTCTAGATTAGGAGAGGAAACCAATGGAAACTGCTGACAGTTGGCGCATTACGTCATCCGGTGTCATTTAGTGAGTTTTTGAGCAAGTTTTAGCTACTTTCCATTGAAAATAGTTGGCAAGACTTTTCAGGGATCTCGGTCCGCTTGTTTGGTGCGCACCAAGGTAGTGTTCACACTTATTCAAATGAACCGCACTAACAGAGCAATCGCACCAGGGTTCGCTTTAATCAAACCAAACATGCCAAGTGTGAACACCCTAAAAGCGATACATTTAATGACAACCTTTAAGGCTGTGTTCACACTTGTAGTTCGGTTCTCTTGGTTCTTTTGGCCTGGACCACAAAAGAAAATTGTACATTTAGTCCTGGTTCGCTAGCGTTCTCACTGTCATTTTTAACACTAAACCTAAAGATTCAACGTTTCTGACGCCTGTACTGAACTGTTATGGGAAACATCGCGAATATGACGAGAAAAAACAGGTATTGGTACAGACTTGAGCGTTCTGTCCTTTTTAGGGTCGCATCTTGACATCACATCCTGTTTTTCATTCATCGACATGTCTTTGGTCCGTGTTGCATTCATATTTCAGTTGAACCGCACCAGAGTTCGTTTTGACCGAGACCCATCTTTTCAGGGTTCTCGGTCTGCTTGTTTGGTGTGCAACAGGGTTCAGCTGGCAGCGTTCACGCTTATTCAAATGACCCGCACTACTAGAGCAATCGCACCAGAGTTCGTTTGAATCAAACCAAACCAGACAAGTGTGAACACACCCTAAGGCAACTTTTAGCACAGTACACCAGGGATGGAAATTAACGTTTTTGTCCACCGGCCACCGTGGCTGGTGGATTTCAAAATCTACCAGCCACTCAATGTTTTTACCAGCCACTTTCTTGTTTTTAACCGACAATGTGTAACTGCATGTGAAAATGAATACTACAAGAATACTTAAGCAGTTTATTTAATCTCAAGTCTCAATGAAATACTGACATTTTCTCTTTCTCTCACCCTCGGCCTCATCCACCTAATCTGTCATTTATTTTTGTTTTGATGATAATTTGAGCCAGCCTCCAAAAGTAATTAACCTGTCCTGTGATTTTTTTTTTTCTCTCACACAACACTCTCCAGACACGGATTTATGAGCTATAGTATGTTGGTTGCCTTTACATTAGAATAATATTTAATATAATCTAGATATGAAATGGAATAAATAGCATTCAATACAAAATGAATATGTCTCATATATTGAAATCAAGTTTTATGTGATAAAATATTTGCTTTGTTGTGCATTAGAACCACATCAGGCATTTAGTACAAAATAATTTATTGAAGCATCCAGATACTTCACCACGTGACAGCAGCTAGGCTCCTCATTGGTTAACGCGGCGCGAATTGACGCCAAAGTTCAGATTTTTCAACTCGGGCGGCAGACGCGAATTCGCGTCAAACGCGTGAATGCACAAAAGCACTCAATAAAATCATGCGCGCGGAACGCGTCAGACGCTCGAACTTGCCGCGCGAATGAGGCGTATTCGCATCTACCACGGCGCGCTCTACACCTCATTCGCGCCGTAGGAATTTTTTACGCGCGTAACGCGTCTTTGCATTGACTTAAGGCCAATTTATACTTCTGCGTCGGGTGCGCGCAGTAGGTACGGCGTAGCATACGCACAGACGCGTACCATACGCCGTACCCTTCGCCGTAACCTGACGCGCACCTCCTCAAAAATGTAACTACACGTCGCGACGACGCGGACCACAAGTATTGCGTACACTACGGCGTACACTCGACGCAGAAGTATAAATTGGCCTTTAGGGCCCTTACATAGTCAACGCATCGGTACGCATGCGCGTGCGCAAGGCTACACATCGCTACGCTTCGGCCACCATTATGCGTTGATGCGTAGCCAAATGTGTCATCCTAGTTTTTGATACGCGACGCGCCGATGCACGCAATACTATGCGTTGTCGGTGGGGGCGACATTGCAAGTAATGTACATAAAAAGGTATATTATTATGTTTACAGAAGAAGAAGATTTGAATACAATGGCGGGCGAAGAGGAAAAGTTATGCGAGCTTGTTCGTATACATCCTTTGTTGCCGCCGATGTAAAATCAGCAATATGCACTCCTCTTCAGTTGCCATTTTGATCTGAATATTACGTGACCCGACTCTAGACTCTACTACCCCCTGCTGCGCGATCGGTGTATTGCATTTCACGCATCGCCGGTGACGCTTGTGTACTATGAAAAGGGGCGCGTAGCTTGCGTCGCTCGCGTTGCTTGCTCGCGTTGCTCGCGTTGACTATGTAACGGCCCTTAGGGCCCTTACATAGTCAACGCATCGGTACGCATACGCGTGCGCAAGGCCACACATTGCTACGCTTCGGCCGCCATTATGCGTCGATGCGTAGCCAAATGTGTCATCCTAGTTTTTGATACGCGACGCGCCGATGCACCCAATACTATGCGTTGTCGGTGGGGGCGACATTGCAAGTAATGTACATAAAAAGGTATATTATTATGTTTACAGAAGAAGAAGATTTGAATACAATGGCGGGCGAAGGGGAAAAGTTATGCGAGCTTGTTCGTATACATCCTTTGTTGCCGCCGATGTAAAATCAGCAATATGCACTCCTCTTCATTTGCCATTTTGATCTGAATATTACGTGACCCGACTCTAGAGACTCTACTACCCCCTGCTGCGCGATCGGTGTATTGCATTTCACGCATCGCCGGTGACGCTTGTGTACTATGAAAAGGAGCGCGTAGCTCGCGTTGCTTGTTTGCGTTGCTCGCGTTGACTATGTAACGGCCCTAAACAATGAAATCACTCGCGCCAGACGCTCTATTCTCGTCTGGTGTGAACGCACCATGATGTTTTCTCTGCAGACCTCTACGCATGCGATGTACGCCACATTTTTGTTTGAAGGTGTGCCTCTTCTAAAAGTGTCCGCCGTCCGGGTGAAACAGTATGCTATTTTTATTTACCCGCCACGGTGGCCGGTAGGTGAAGCGAGTTTACCCGCCACAACACAAAATCACCCGCATTTGGCTGGTGGCGGGTGC